CTATGGAGCCTCACTAGCTGTCTATGAAGCCTCACTAGCTGTCTATGAAGCCTCACTAGCTTAAACTGTCAAAGGAGGTAATTTTTGTCATGATTATGATAATGCTGGACTGCTCAGAACTAGCCATGTGGACTATTTTATGTCACAGAAATCAGCAAAAGTTATTGGGCTTCCTTTATTCTTATTGACTGCTTAAAGAAAGAGTAATGAAGCAAGCTACACTTAAGAATGATCTATAACCATTATATTCTGAGTAGCCCAAGAAACTGATAATGCATTTTTTTAACGACTGTATGTGTATGTATACTGAAAGGTGATGTTAGGAGTCCTTCCTCAATCTCTCTCCACCTTATTTATATTCATGGTTTTTTTGACACAGAGTTTCTCTGTGTAGCCCTGGCTGTCCTGGAACTCATTCTACGGACCAGGCTGGCCTCGAACTTGAAGAGATCCGCCTGCCTCTGGCTCCCAAGTGCTGGCTTTAAAGGCATGGACCACCACTACCCAGCCATCCATGTTATTTTGAGGCTGTGGTGTCTCTCTGAACCTGGAACTTACCAACTAGTGAGGCTGGTGAGCCAAGGAATTCCAGGGATCCATTGTATCTCTACCTCCTTAGCACTGGGATTACTGACTAGTACCTGTAGCCCTGGCTTTCATGGAAGTTCCAGGGTTCCAAACTCAGGCCCTCATTTTTGCCGACAAGAAAGCAGACTGTCACCTCCCTATCCTCAGACCGAGTATTCTAACAGCATTGTGTGTGTGTGTGTGTGTGTGTGTGTGTGTGTGTGTGTGTGTGTTGGGTGTTTACAGGTTTCCTAGAGTCTTTTTGTATTCCCAAGTAAGTCAAGAATTAACTCCCAGGGCTAAGTCAACTAAGTTGATTAAGAATACATATTGCCCTTGCCAACAGGACCTGAACTCAATTCCCAGCACCAACACCAGGCAGCTTATAACTCCAACTCTACAAAATCTGACACATCTGGCCTCTACAGGTACAGCCACTCATGTGCACATACCCACACGCATACATATAATTTTTTAAAAAATTAAATATTTTTTAAAAAAACATGTCCCAAACTTGTTGACAATTTCCAGTACCAAATAAACTGCAAGATGACAGAAATACAGAAATGCCATAACAATCCCTACTAAGTCTAACCGAGGTCGAAATCAAAGCATTACCCTGACAAACAGCAATGTTTTCCCAGAGTCACAGAGACCAACGAAGAGAACAGCTCTCTGACTGCTCTTTCGGCTCCAGATGAACTTCCAGAACACTGCAAAAAAAAAGAGAAAGGCAGCCTTCATTTTCAAAAGACACTAATAGGCATTTACGACAAAAACGCGTTCACCTGTACTTTCATTGTCATACGGATTAGGGTCAGTTTTGGTAGGAACCCACTGAGCGCCCGTCACTATCGATTGTAAACTTTTCCACGTCTATTTCCCTCACCCGAAATGTGGGACTTCAAGTATACACAGAACGATGGATCTGAGAAAAATCAGCAGCTCGCTAAATTTGATTGGTGGATTTCTACTCTGCCTTAGAACCTCAGTAGCCCAGAGCCCAGCTCAGACACGAGTGGCTCAAAGTTAGAGTGAGCGACGGCGGCCGCAGCACACTGCGCTCAAGCACACAGGGGCGACTCAGGTAAATAGTCCTGTCCCAAGAGCCAGGTCACTTCAGCGTCCCCTTTCGACACTGTTCGGGTCTAGAAGATGAGTGGCAGAAGAGGGGACCCAGCCGTCCGTCTCCCCGGCCTGCGGAGCCAAGCCACCCCGTCCTCGCTGCGAACACCGGTCGCCTCACCCAGCGTCAGCAGCACCGCCAATAGCGCCACCGCCACGGACAGCAGCGTCGGATCCCTCTGCTGCAACTCCTGTCGTAAAGAGTCGAGATAAGGTTGGAAGGCGCCCCCGGCGCCATCCCCAACACGCCGGGTGTTCGCGGAAGCCATGAAAGAGGTGCGTGGTCTTGCCCGGCCGCCAAAGATACGTGGCCCTAGGCTCCACGCCGCGGCGAGGCGCGGAGCATCACGGGAGTGGTAGTTCCTTAGAGGTATATCGGGCTACGAGCCTTGAGGAGCTCCAAGTGCCTGATGGGAGTTGGAGTTTTTGGTTTCTACAACCCAATTACCTAGTGTTTTTATACCGTCATGCTTTGAGACATGTATGTATTGACTCAGTCTTTGTGGAGTTTTCCCCTTGCATTTAAAAAAAAAATCTTTGGAGAATTTCATACATTAGCATGTGTTTTGGTCAAACCCAACCCCTACTCCCATTTCATTTCGATTTTTGAAAGAACGATGAATTTGAGCAAAATTAATGGCTGCAAAACTTCATTTGAGGATTTCTACTCTGCCATTACATGGGATGAAATTTATGAGATGTTTTACCACAGTATAATGTGACCGGAGATGTGATGGAATCACGAAGAGTCCACAAAGACACGTCGAGTCCTTTATGAGATCAGAGAAAAGTAGCTAGAGATGGAACTGAATCTTAGAAGACGTGTTAACCTATGCTGCTGAAGGGATGGAAAATTTTAACTTGGCCCCGAAAACTCAGCCTGGGGCCCTCTGGCCCAGTTGGAGTAAGAAAAACAGGAACTCCACCTCCCACTTTTCGTGAAGCTAGCTAACCATAAGAGCAGATGGTCTGGGTAAACAGTTCTAAGAAAAACAGGTACACCCCTGACCCTGAACCTGATGTTATGCTAAGATAGTGCGGGTCGATTTTAAAGGAGCCAATGAGAATGCTGTGTTTCCCACCCCCTTGGTTGTGTTTTTACCCTATAAAAGCTGAAGTTTTTTTACTGTTTGGGACCGATCTCCTCTACCCCTGCATGGGATACTAGTGAAGCCCCAGTGCACTGGTTTTGAATAAATCCTCTTGCTGTTTGCATTAAGACTTGTTTCTCGTGAGTGATTTGGGGTGGAATCACGTCGTTGCCCGTCGAGCAGTGGGGTCCTCACTCTGAGGGTCTTACACTGCCAACTAAAGAAAACAGAAAAAGATTCACAGAAGAGAAGCATGAGTAAAAGCCAGTGACATATGAGAAACTTGGTAACTCTGTGTCCTTCATTGAAACGCCCAGTACGGAAAACTCAAATGGCTGCATTTTAAAAAGCAATCTGGCCGGGCAGTGGTGGTGCACTCCTTTAATCCCAGAATTTGGGAGGCAGAAACAGGCAGATTTCTGAGTTCGAGGCCAGCCTGGTCTACAGAGGAGTTCCGGGACAGGCCGGGCTATAAAGAGAAACCCTTTCTCAGAAAACCAGAAGGAAAAAAAAAAAGCAATCTGGAAAATCAGTTCTTGGGAGGATATAAGGGTGTCGACAATAGATTTAGCTTTCCCACCGAAAGAAAGCAGGTCCTACTCAACCAGGTAGGCCATTTGGGAGGCCTGGAGTAGACACTATTTTTCAGTTTCTCAAGAGGACTTATTTATAAAAGATTTTTATCAGAACTCTCCTACTTAAGATTTCAGCAAGTAATCGAAAACATTAAAAAATGTGAGCTTCAATTTAAAAACATCTGCGGGTCAGAAGTGACCAAGCCTAGGGGGCCATTTACAGTCTCTGTCATTAAGTAACTTGTCATTGTTTTAAAATATTTACAGGTCTGACTGGGAGATGACGTGAAAAGTCAGTGTCACTTAAAGACTAAACTTTGTTACAATGTCACATTACCACATAAAACCCCAACTCCTGTAGGCACCAGAAAGGGAGGAATTAAGACTCCCCCTTTCTCTCTAGTGTGGCACTGAGTGATTGGGTAGGAAATGAAGCAAAGTTGTTAAAGTTTGAGTTTGGAAGGTTCACAATGTGATTTAGATTTAGATACATCCTCCAAAAGCAGACCGCAGAGGAGGAGAAGCACATTTCAGGCCACTCACTTGGTCTTATTATCACCAGATACTGAGTCGCTGGTTACAAACTATGTAAAAGAATGATTAACCTGTCCATTTAAGCAAAAATGGCAGAAAATCAGATGGAAACGTTTATAGGAATCAGACCTGGAGGGGTTTTGTGTGCTGTGCTGAAGAACCTAGAGTTTACTCAAAAGTGTAACAATAAGCCGAAGGTGGGATGGATAATTGGCAGATCTATGGAGAACTTTGACTGGAAAGAGTAAAGACTGAGGCTGGGGCATCAATGGGAGTCTCCTGTAGCATTAAGGCAAAGATACTTGGAGTCTAACACAGGATAAAAGTGTGAAATAGGGGATTGGAGACAGGGCTTCTCTGCTCTTCCAGAGGTCCTGAGTTCAATTCCCAGCAACCACATGGTGGCTCATAGCCATCTGTAATGGGATCTGATGCCCTCTTCTGGTGTGTCTGAAGACAGCTACAGTGTACTCACATACATGATAAACAAACACTAATAGTGTGAAATAGAGAGTACAAATTTTTGAGATATTTAAAAGTTAAAATATATAGGTTGTAATCACTAAAATATATAAACGAAGCTAGTAGGAGAATAGTCAAGCCTGCATCCTAAAACTTTAGTGTTAGGTGACATGAAAGGTGAATGTGTTGTTTAGTGAATTAAGGACTTCATTAAGGAAGAGTGGGGCCCCAGTGAGAAAAGGAGGCTAAAATGAAAACTGTCTATGTCATGTCTCAGGGGCTTCTGAAAAATCTGAAAGCCACTATCAGGCAAGTGGTAGAATGAAAAGATAAAAAAAGTACCACAAATGTGTGCTTGGTTTTCATTTGGGAGTCAGGAATCAATTGAGCCTTTTGGGGAGTTCCTGAGTCAGTGACATAGAAATAAACATGTCTGGCAGTTGTCAATAGAATCTTTTGTGTCGCCGGGCAGTGGTGGCACATGCCTTTAATCCCAGCACTTGGGAGGCAGAGGCAGGTGGATTTCTGAGTTTGAGGCCAGCCTGGTCTACAGAGTGAGTTCCAGGACAGCAAGGGCTATACAGAGAAACCCTGTCTCGAAAAAAAAAAAAAAAAGAAAAAGAAAAGAATCTTTTGTGTCAGAGAAGCCTCTCCAGTAAGGCTTCTGGATGAATGTGAGCTCAGGGCTCTGGGAGTGTGGGGAAGAGGTTATGGAAGGCTATGGTTGGCATGGAAATGAACACAATGGGAAGAATCTCTAATGGAATAAGCACTTTCTGGTGTTAGCATCTAAGTATGCTTAATATACTCAGAACTCAGAATTAATATACAAAGACTCAGAGCTCCAACTTTCACATCGGGGAAACTGAGGAAGGGTTTGAGTGATCCTTCCTATAAGTACATCAGTAGAGGCAGAGCCAAGGTTTTGGTTATAGGCAGTTAAGCTTCTGTATGTTAACCACTGGCTATAATGTGAGAGGATTCATTTGACACAAGTCAGTAATACAGGCTTCACATTAAAGAGGAGTGTTGAAGACATGCATTTTAACTGGGTAAGTCGCATATTATTAGTAATAGTACCAGAACTATATCAGAATTATAACTATATAACACAATATCAGCACCAGAACTGTCAGTAGACAGTAGACATCATACATTGTTTCCTTTCTTTTTATGGTCCTTAATACACACACACACACACACACGCACACGAACAATAAAACTTCATTTCTTCTTTAGAGATATCACTGTTTGATCCAGACATGGTGGTGATACTCAGAATCCCAGCACTTAGGAGAGTAATTCAGGAGGATGGCCATGACTTTGAGAACAGACTATCTTAGTTACCTTTCTACTGCTGTGAAGAGATGCTGTGACAAAGGGAAGTTATAAAAGAAAACATTTAATTTGGGATTCCAGAGAGTAATAAAGTCCATGACCATCACGGTAAGGAGCATGGCAGTAGGCAGGCAGGCATGGCACTCAATCAGTAGCTGAGAGCTCACATGATAAGGCAACAAACCCAAGGCAGAGAGAGATCTAACTGGAAATGGTGTGGGCTTTAAAAACTTCAAAACCTGACCAACTGACATCTTTCCCTAGTTGCTGTTGTTCTATTACTGTGTAAAGACACATGACCAAGTCAACTTATAGAAGAAAGCATTTAATTGGGAGCTTGTTTATATTTCAGAGAGTGAGTCCATGATCATTGTGGTGGGGAGTGTGGCAGCAGGCAGGCATGGCACTGACACAGTAGCTAACTAAGGGCCTACATCCTGATTCAGGGGCAGAGAATAAGAAACTAGGCCTGGTGTGAGTGTTCAAAACCTCAAAGCCCACTCCAGTGACACGCCTCCATCCAACAAGGCCACACCCCCAATCCTTCCCAAACAATTTCACCAAATGGGAACCAAGCATTCAGATATATGAACCTATAGAGATGTTCTCATTATAGAAACCAGGAGACACTACATCGTGTCCCCTCGATGTCTCTGTCCCATAGGGACCTGACTCTCTCCTGCTTCCTCTCATCCTCAGTCCAACCAGGAAATCATGCTACTTGCCCAGTGATTAGCTCCTTTATTCATTAGAGATGGTTCACAAGAAGTCACCTGAGTACAAGACTCATTCCTCCTTCGAAGCCCCTCCCAGGAGAGTCGAATTAGCATCAAAATACAAGCAACCCCAGGGCTATCCACAACAAATATGCATGTATGTGTAGGTGTGTGTGTGTCTGGGTGTGAGTTTGAACATGTGAGTGTGAGGATTGTGGGCTCTCCTGTGAGTGCTAAGGTTTGTAAATGCTCTCAAATGCTGAGCCATTTCTCTGGCCCCTCTTCGGATTTCTGTTAATATTTTTTAAAAGATATAACTTAATTATTTTTAAATTTGTTTTAATTACATATGAATATACAGGCATGTGTGTCTGGGTGAGTTTGTGCATGTGACTGCCGTACCCAGAGAGTCCATAAAAAGGTGTTGGATCCCCTGGAGTTTGAGTTGGAAGCTGCCTAGTGTAGGTGCTGGGAACTGAATCCACACCCTCTACAAGTGTTGTGTTTTCTAAAAAGATAAGAGAAGCCAGGGATATGTTTGGTGGAAGTGTGGTATGGTGTAGGGGAAGGGGGTGCCTCTGTCGGCCCATGCTGAAGCATCC